TTCCCCCCCAATAAATTTTCCCCCCCCCCCCCCAAACCGTGCACCTCCTGCCCACCCTCATGCACAGGAGAGCCCTGGACAGCACACACAGCTTGCTGCTGGGGGACCTGCTTGGCTTCTCCTGCCTCCAGCAGCTCCTCCTTATGCCTGTCCTGCAGTGCTCGCTCCAGGCAGCAGGTAGGGAAATGGTGGCAGGCAGGGGGAAGCTGCAGCAGGGTGGGAGCATGGGGCTGGGGTTGGGGCTCGTGGGAGCACAGAGCTCAGGTGGGTAGGGTGTGGGTATGTGGGGTTTGAGGGAGAGTGGGGGGGTGTGGGGGACTGCCCCATGTGTCCTTTTCTCCCTACCATGGTGCACAACCCCCATTGCCAGGAGCAGCACACAGCAGGCCCGTGGGGTGCTCATGGCCCTCGGTGCTTATGGCTCACGCAGGCACAGCTGCCCAGCAGCACACGGCTCTAGCCAGTTCCAAGATCTGTAGATGGTGGCAAGGAGCAGAGCCAAGCCGGCCTGCCTCTATCGCAGCATGCTCTCCACAGCTCACATGCAGCTCCTGGGACTTGCACACCACTGAGGGGAAGCCCTGTGTGATGGAGCCAGCTGCCTTCCCTTATTCCTGCTGCTGCGTGCAGCTTCCAGGACTCAGTGGCGGGGTGCTCTGCTCCCTGGCTTACCTGGTGGCAGGGAGCAGGGAAGGCATCCAGCTCCACTGCGTGCAGCTTCCCCCCCCAGCACAAGTCCCAGGAGCTGCATACTGAGATGCAGGGAGCCCCATCCAATAGATAGGGGCTGGCTTGGCTCCACTTTTTGCTGCCATGTGCAACTCCTGGAGCAGGCTGGAGCCATGCTTTACTGGGTGGCAGTGCCTACACGGGCCATAGCCACCCTGAGGGCCTGCTGCTGCTGCCACCACCAGTGGGGACTGTACCATGAGTAGGGAGCTGTGTGTGGGGGGAGGTCCCTTCACCTCCTCCCACACTCCCACCCAACAAACCACACCCCCCCACACTCCTGCATATATACACACACCAATGCCCCCAACATACCCTACCCCTCTCCACACCCCCCCATACAATACAACTTTCCCTCACTTTATGCTGTACATGTGTTCCTGGAAAATGGCGCATAACTCGAATTCGCATAAAGGGAACCCACTTTACAATATAACAAATGGGGATACATTCCGAGACCTCGACTGTATTGACCTCCAGACCCATTTTTACCACTTCTACAAGACTATTTTGATACTCACCAACAGCAGAAAGTACACACAAGCACAGGGCACTATAAATGATGGGGATGGCAACTACAGAAACATGTTGTAGACAATGAGCAAGGAGCACAGATCCACACAGGAGAATATATTTGGTATGTCTCTCTCCTACAATGCACCACAGTGGGCTTCTTCCACACTGATCGCAAAGGAGTGATCTTGCATAAGAGATACGTTGCATATAATAAATTTTTGGTATAAAAAGGGTCATTGCATAAAAGTGAATTTGCACATACAGAACCCGCATAAAGTGAAGGAAACCTGTATACAAGAGTAAGATTTTATTTTTGAGCTATTATGCAATTATCTCTATATATACTATGCAAATGCATGTAAATGAGGACAAAAATATTTTTTTCAAATAAAATGTTATAGAAGCTTTTTGACCTTTAGTATATGATTTGGGTTTTTTTCCGGTTCCAGGATGACAATCCCCCTGCCCCCTCCAAAGGAATACTTTCAGGAGCAAGGGGAGGGGCTTCTAGGGGCAAAGTCCAGGGATTAGGGGTGGGACTTCTAGTTCCAAGATAGTGACCAGGGGGTTGGCCTACCCTTGCATCCCTTAAGCTGCCGTCCAGGCAAAATAATTTGCCAGGGGTGGGGGGGAATAGTTTGAGGCCCTTGCAGTGAGGGAGGGAGTGGAGTAGGGGGCAGGTCCCCACTGCTGCGCACACTTCTGGAGGAGGCATGGGGGGCACATGCCCCCCGAATTTGTGTGCAGGGTGAGGGTGGGCTGGGCTTAGGGCAGGGGTGGAGTGGGTGATGGGGCAGGTGCTACAGTGAATTTGGGAGTACTGAAGCCCATGCCGTAGCCCCACCCCCTGTCAGCACTGCCTCTGCCTACCCCAAGCGCAGTCCCAGCCCAGCCCAGCCCCCCTGGTAGGAAGGGGCTGATGCAGCCCCCGAGCCTACAACAGGCAGCCCACCCTCACCCTGCACACAAATCCAGGGGGTACATGCCCCCCATACCTCCCCCAGGGGTGCACACAGCAGGAGGAGCCACTCCCCTGCTGATAAGCCACCTGCGGCTCCATTCCACACCCTGCTCAGCACCTACCCCTATCCCATTCCCTCACCACGGGGGCCTCAATCTGTCCTGTCCCCCAAGCCCTTTTTCCCCCCCCACAGGCTTACTGGGGAGATGCTGCTCTCCAAGGGGCCGGACTATATATTGGCCAATATGGCTGGTCAATAATTGGCCATCAGGATCAGCCAAAAATCCTTTATCAGTGCACCCCTAGTAGATGCAGCATGTTTTCAGAGACAATTTGAGTTCTGATAGTGTGATTTTAATCTTCCCCTCTACCCAGGATGAACCAGTTCAGAAGTATGTACAAGAAGCTATTACTCGAGACAAAACAGCTCATGTTCTGCGGCCCTCTCTCAGAAGTGCTCAAAGAATCTTTCAGGACCTGCGTTCTTCCAAGCAGGTGAACAGGAAGGAAAACCGATACCGTCTCTTAACAAGTCACCGGCCAGACTGCTTTGAGAAAGAAACCATTGCACTTGACACAAATGATGAAGAGTTAACTAAGGGTGAGAGATCAGACTCTGAAGCAACAAAGGATGCTTCACAAAAAGAAAGCAATACTACTGACTGTGGGGGGTTCCAGTTGTTTGATATAGTACAAGAGGGAGAAGACCGCAGTATTGTTGCAGCACATACACAGGTTGGTATTGAGACTTGTTTAGCATTGGAAAGCTAAACTAAAACTATTCTGTGCAGTAAAATTGCATATGTGGGCAAATTTGAAAGAGCCCGTATTTGCCACTGGCATTAAATCCAATTTGTTGCTTATATATAAGGCCTTTAAAATGCATTTGTTTGCTGGAAGACTAAACATAAAGGTTAAAAAAAAATATTAAAGGGTCTTTATACCAGCTTAACTAACTAGCTAACATTCTAAGCTGCTTGTAGATGTTAAAAAAAACAAACCCCCATGCTTTACCAGAAGCAGCAGCATGTTATTTTAACCTAACTCCATAGAATCTGTAAAGATCAGATGCTTCAATGGAGCTTTTTAGCACTTTTATCTAAAGCTGAGTCAATCAGCTATTAAATAAAAGTGCCAAAAAAGCCCCACTGAAGCACCTGATTATTACAGACACTGCACAGTCAGGTTGAAATGATATACTGCCTCTTTTGGGCATGTGCAAGGCTCAGCATGGAAACATGCCAGGTTTAAAGTAAAGTGCTGTATGTTTGGGGGTTTTTTTTACATCTGCAAGCACCTCTAGTATCATATGAAACCTTCCTGGAAGTAGTCCTTTTAGTGGGAAAGGGAAGGTACTTGGGTTTCATAGAATCGTAGAAAATTAGGGTTGGAAGGGACCTCAGGAGGTCATCTAGTTCAACCCCCTGCTCAAAGCAGGACCATTCCCAGCTGGATCATCCCAGCCAGGGCTTTGTCAAGCCAGGTTTTAAAAACTTTAAAGGATGGAGAGTCCACCACTTCTCTAGGTAACTTGTTCTAGTGCTTCTCTACCCTCCTAGTGAGAGAGTTTTTCCTAATATCCAACTTAAACCTCCCTTGCTGCAACCTGAGACGGTTGCTCCTTGTTTTGTCATCTGCCACCACTGATGATAGTCTAGCTCCATCCCCTTTGCAACCCTGCTTCAGGTAGTTAAAGGCTACTATTGAATTCCCTTTCAGTCTTTGCTTCTGCAAACTAAATAAACCTAGTTCCCTCAGCCTTTCCTCAGAAGTCATGTGCTGCAGCCCCCTATTTTCATTGCTCCCTACTGGACTGTCACCAACTTGTCCACATCCTTTCTATAGTGGAGGGCCCAAAACTGGACACAGTACTCCAGATGTGGCCTCACCAGCGCAGATTAGAGCAAAATAATTATTTCTCTTTATCTGCTGGCAGTGCTCCTACTAATGCAGCCCAGTATGCTGTTAGCCTTCTTGGCAACAAGGTCACACTGCTGACTCATCCATCTTATTGTCCACTGTAACCCCCAAGTCCTTTTTGGCAGAGATCAGAGAGGGAGTGATTGTCCTGTGACAAGTGTGCTCCCACACATAATTGGGTATTCTTGTCTTTGATAGATTTTTATTGTGTGTTCATTCTGGTGTGCAGTTGTGGGTACACACTTCTCACAGGACAGTCACTCCCTCTCCAGTCTCCCAGTTCTAATCCTCAAAGGGAACTTACAAAGTACCTTTTATAGATGAGCCTATGAACTTCACTTCATAAATCTACTGGATGCAAAAAATCATGGACTTATAAATCCAAGGTCTATATTGACACATTACAATCTGCCTGACATCCGATTCACCAGGTACCTGTCAGACCTGACCTCTTACATTCTTCTTTTCTCCCCTCTTTTCCCCTACTTTTCTTCCCTTTGTCTTCCTAATTTTCAGCTATTTCCTTCTTCACAGGCAGCCTCTTTTTTACCTTGTATTACTACTACTGGAGTATCTCCCTTTGGCCTTTTTCCCCCAGCTTTTTCCCCTTGCCTTCCCTGCTTTACACCTTTTGTCTTTCTAATTTCTACCTATTTACATTCTCACTGGCATCCTGCCACACTTTTAGTTTCTCTTATTCCTTGGAGTCTCGGAACAGCAGAGACTCCCTATGCCTGAAGGGAGGTGATTGCATTCTCTTGCTGAGAACTTTTTTCCAACTACTCAGTTGGTTTAGTAAAAGATAGCACATCTACTCAAAAAACCTTGCCTGTCTATATCCTTAGACCAACACGACTACAACCAAAAACTTTCAGCACTTTAAAACTGGAAGTACCATTATTTTTCCTTAATAGCCTTTCCTTTATGAGCAGATAATCAGTTTCTGCAGAAACCAAAATAATATTGCTAGAAACAAAGGATGGTCCAAAATGGAGGGAGGAGACAGGAAAAACTGTATAGACTAATTATATCTTTATAAGGAAGTGATGCTGCAGGTTATCTTTAACCCAGATGTTATTCTCATGGTCTGGGAACATATGGCCTTACAAATCAAGTTTGTTCTTTTGTGTCCCATTTGAGTCTGATTCTCTGTATTGGAACATATTCCTTTAAAATGCTACGCAGTGTTACTGCCTTGTAGGTTGATTGATTGTCATTTTTTAGGTATTAAGACTAAGAACTAAAACAAAGCTAGCTTTTTCTTTATTCTCTTCCCTTATTCTCCCTTTTGTTCCTATTTTTCTTTTTCCTAATTCTGTAATATTGGGAAGGAATAAGAGCATGTGCCTGGCTCCCCACCTTTGCCTCAGAATTTCTTAAAGCGGATGTAGCCAGTGGTACTAATAGATGAAATTTTCTCAAAACTTGCCTTCAAGCAAAGGTATATTTTGTGCCAATCCAAACAGACACTGTAAGAGCAAGTCAACTAAAACAAATAACTTACACATGGCCCTGAGGAAGAAATTGCCAGGTGTATTTTTTTGCTTGTGTGAACATGGAAATAGGGAAACAATAAGGGGCACACTCACTGGTCCTAGCAGCCTTTTCCTGTATCTCATACTTGATTTCATCATTTCCCATGTAAGCATGAGACTACTCTTTACCTAGTCATGTTCTTTTTTACAAAATATTTAACTACATAATGCTACTACAATAGCAGGTTTCTCTCAGTATTTTGAAGCGCAAGAATCCGGGAGCAAAATTTGGTATGGAAGTTATGAAGTAAACTGCATTGTCTAAGAAGCACTAAGCAAATAGAACAGCAGTTACTATAGTCCATATTTTACACGTACCACTTTTGCTGGGATAAAGCAGCAGAAGTACCAGGGAGCCATATGTGAGGGGCTGCATTTCTATCAAGTAAGAACGTGGAGACTTGTGGAAGTTCAAGGAATGGATAATATTTTACATGGCAAATTTTTATAATGGACACTAACACTTTTTTGGTGATACAAGGGAAATAAATATTAGATTTAAATGGATCTCTTCTGTACAGCATAACTGAGGAAAAGCTTGGTTTAAAACTTCTAGAGCTAGAAACTTCACCTTCAACTTGAAAGCATCTCTTCAGTGTCCCAAGACCTTTAGTAATATAGCTGGTTATTTGGAGCACAGGCAATCTACATTTTTCACTGGAAAAGGTTTTAGACCAGTATTTTGCAGGATGCCTGTTCTCTTTGCCTTTATTAAGTTATTGAGGAAAAATGTTATATTTCTATGGCATTTTGAAAGTCTGTGCATATGACTTAAAATACATGTGGTGGATTTTTTTGGTAACAGAAGACTGATGATCCAGAAGTGATTCTCTGCAATGCCGTAGAGATGATCCGTGAACGTTTAACTGTATCTGAGTGTGATAAAAGGGAAGAGTATGAAAAGAAGGAAGATGATTATGTTTATGATATTTACTACATGGAAACATCAACCCCTGGCTGGATTGAGAATATCTTGTCTGTGCAGCCCTATAAAGAGGAATACGAACTGGTAAGGGTTTGGAAATCAAACTAGACCTTTTTTGTAATGAAAGCAACTAATGGAAAAGTATTAATCATGCACAATATGGCCTCTTGCTTTTATATTTGTAGCTCAGTTACTTTATTATCAAGCATACGCTTTCTTTCTACAAGCTCTGCATACTGAATGTAAGTTCCTTCCAGGTTGTCAAGACAAAGTGCGTCTTATCTGACACTAACAGTCCTTTTAATTTTTTTTCATTAGTTTTACCAAGATCTGAACCATTATTTTTGTGCTAACTCATTTTGGTGCACAAGAAAGGAAAGAATTTAGGTCATTTGTACTTCACTTGTATGGTTCTTCATGGTCGACAGTTGTAAAGCAATAAACTATTTTTTCATTGACTGTACTTGTCCAAAAAGAAGCAGAAAGTTTTCAAGGATACCAGGTTAAGATTACAGAGAAACCCTGAATTGTGGCATTCCCTAAGTTTTGAGTACTTTAGAGCCTTGAATGTTCTTTTCTTTTGGTTTTTTGTGATGATCTTCTGTCATGATGTAGCTGATGTAGCTTTGTAATTAATTCAGAGCATAAGCTATTCAAAGTATAAATTATTTTAAGTGTTCTTTCATTGCATGTCCTCTGGTTCGTTGGTTCCATACACCAAAATGAGATGCAGCTTTTATCATTTATACATGAAATAGTTAATCTATGCTTTCTCCCCATCTAATATACAATAACTTAATTACAGCTGAAAGTGGGTGGAATTTTGCTGTTAATTTCAAAATGGGTAAATACCCAATTGCACTTAAGCTATCAATAGTTTATTAGTTACTGTAGTTTCATATGCCAAAATGTAAGCTGTGCCATACCAGAAAAGACTGTAGTCTAACTAGTGCAGCTGTAACTTTAACTACTGCATAGTATTGTACTGTAATTGGCTTAAGTATGACTAGTGCATCTTTTTTCTTCCTCATTCACCACTATGTACATGAGCATAGGGATTGCTTAGTGCTTTTTGTGACATCTGTTTACCCTTTGTCCATTTTGACAATGCAGGTAGCAGATCATATTTCAGAAGAAATATATGATGATGAAGATGATGAGAATGATGAGAATAATTGGCGTAATGATTATCCTGATGAAGATGAGTTCCTTCCTGAAGAAAATGAGAACAGTGACAGAGAAAAAGGTATTATAGTCCTAACTGGTTTTGTTTTCATGCCTCTGAGTTGGTTCCTTCCAGTGTAAGTGCATCTGTACAACAATTGATAGTTCAACAAAAAGGACAGTGGCTTACATTTTCTAAAGCTAGTCCTTTATACTGGCTACAAAAAATCAAATCAATAAGATTGTAACTAATGGCAAACAATTTGAGGTGATTAATATTGAATGATTTCTCTCAGGGAGAATAATCATTAGGTTGTGTACTTCTAAGGCAGTTTTGAGAGAGGAATATATTCCATTACAGGCAGATGATCGGAATAAGCTTCCTTATTTTCATGCATCCTACATTCATAAACAAGTATTAACTGAGATCGCAGTAACTACTTTAAAGAGTTCAGTAAGACTTAAAATCCAAAATTCCTGAAAACCTTTGTAGGATTATGTACGCTCCTGACAGCTAAGACCATGAAGCTTTCTTCAGGATTGCTGCAGATGTTTTCATTGTGTTTCTTATATACAACAGGAAAGATGCTTGTGATTTTACATCACTACTCTATCATCCTTGCAGCAGCTTTTTCTAGTGGTCTCTGACTTCCTATGTCTTGAATGTCCCTTCCTACCCTACCAACTATGAATGAATGAACTCTGTTATTCTAACTAAACTACTTTGGCCAGACATAAATATCAAACTACTGCACCTACAGAGAATTTTATTGGAGGCTTGCCTTGCTTAGAGATGGAATTCCTATTCTGCTCTGACCATATTAAGTTCCTAAGTCTAGTCACAGACTTTGAGGAAAACAGTATTACTACCCCAGGAAATTATATTGCAACTGAAAACTGGTTTTTAAGAGCAATACTTTTCCATTGCTTTTGTGCATAGCTTTTACTTTAACACAGAATAAGGAACTTAGTACTACTTTATTTTGAGTAGCTGATCTATAATTACAGACTTGTAGTTCTAAAAATTTTCTTCTCTCTAGGGTCTGAGGATGGGAGTTTCAGTGATGAAGATGGTGGGGGTTACAAGAGGAGAGCCTGGGATGCATACCACAGTGATATTCTACAAGAGTTTGCATGTGATGAGGCCTGAGACTTGGATTCTGATTAAATTATAGTCAGAATACTAACCTACTGTATATATGGTATTATACTCTTGTTCTCCTTGGTAAGATTTATGGGGAACAAAAATAAGTGCTGCTTTTCAAGGCTATTTATAGAAATGAGATTAAAGTTAAAGAATGGGAAAGCATTTCTCTCTTGCAAAACAAGTAGTTTTCTAATGTTCCATAAGTGCTACTTGTCAGGTGGGGAAACGTTAAGTTAAACTATAATCTATCTGTCTGATCTCAAGAAGTGGTAATATACCAGATAGTGAACCAAGTATTAAGGTAAACTGTTGACAAAGGCAAATTACTTGCTAAAAATTATTGGCTGCTTCTTTTAGCAAGTAAGCATGTGTACAACACAGCACTGATTTCATCAAGTAAGCCATTCACTTCTTGAATGAGGAAGTTATGTTCCAGTTTGAGTATTATGAGAGACTGAAAGGAGCAGAGAGGAAACCATGGCTTCAGGTAAAATCTTGATTGGTAAACCTCGATTACTACTGCATTTAGTTTTAACAAACAAGAGAGGCGGTGTAGTCTCTACATAAAAATGGAGAGATCAGATATAATAAGTAAACGTGTTCTATGGATTATTGTCTGGACACTTTTTTGCCTTTATTATTTGTTACTAGAATGGAGTAAAGTATTTATGCACTTTTGTATGTAAATAAAGAATTGATTTGTGGAATTGATTGTAGCAGTGTCTTTAAAAGTGAAACAGAAACAAACTTTGACGTACCACAGCTGGTCTTAAACTGTTTAACTCAAGACAGAGGCTTCCACTGCAACATTTTAAATCTTATTAAATAGTCAATAGGAACTTTGGCCCCAGTTCATCCCAGAAATTTAAAGTCAAGAGTACAGCTATCATGTAGTTATATTTGTAGTAGTGGAACAAGTGGTACTACTATTAAAGAGTTGGTCCATCATATATTTTGCTTGCAAATTATACAGAAAGTAATACAATAATCTCTCATTTGGTTAGTGACATTTAGTTTTTAATTGAGGATAAGATGGTCATAATTTTCTAGTCCATGAAAAAAAGTCTGAAGTGATCCGTTAACCTTTACTGTGCATTACGGAGCATTACCTGATTTTTGACTACTTAATACCAGAAGAGGGAAATTAGTGATCCTCTATATAAATAAACAGGACTCTTGAGACTTTACAAGTGTTTTTAAGCTATTGACTTGTTGCTTTTCTGCTTCATTTTCATAAGCACCATCTGCTGCTGCTCATGGAAGGGCCCTTTCCTTCCACATCAGAAGTTCAAGAGCCTATGGAAGCAAACTGTCAGATATTACTTTACTAATGAAAATGACTGTATTTAGTTCTCTGTCTAGATATATGGATTACACCATGGACAATTAGGATCACACATTACCTGTCACTGAAATGTACCTCAACATAGTAAGTGGAAAAAACTGGTTTCAGCATAGATTTTGAACTTTGAATTTATAGAATATGCCCAAGTTTCTTGGCAAATCCAAGAAGCCTGCTGAGATTTATAATCCTTTATACAGTTAAAGCTTCAAAAATACTGAAGTGTTCCTACTTACAGAAAAGAGTGCAGTCTACTACCACAGCAAGATTTAAGTAGTTAAATACCACTTTTAATTAAATAATTAGGTGAGAAAACAAAAAATTTGTGAGATTTAAAAAAAAAAATACTTAAACAAAACACCTACATTGAAATGTCCTTAAATTTACTTAAAACAGTAATTAAATTCAATGGTTGGTAAATGCTGCAGAATGCTACCAGTTCACAACAAAACCTAGCACTAAATTTAACCTGTACCACAACTTCAACTTTGCCTTACAGGTAAAACAAGGTTGACTAGAAACTGAATGCCCAGGAGCCCAACAGTTATAACAAGAGTTAAAACAGTTTATAGTATTAGCAATTTCTTAACCTCCCAGTGAAAATCTTCAGTTCAATGGGGTGCAGGTTTGATGTGGCTTGTTTCATACCGGAAGAAGCAGACTTAGAAAAATAAGTTACTGAGACCTAGAAATGATACACACTGTAGACTTCCAATTCACAGTTTGATTCACTTTTAAACAAACATTTAGACCAATGTTTAGAAAATGAGAGAAACTGTACCAGAAGCACAATCCATAGTGTTTGCCCCTTTTGATTACTGTACTTTATTTTAAGATGGCTACAATTTTAACAAATTGTACCTCTTCCCTCTCTTTATTGTAGTGATGATGCATGCTAAAATTGTAGCTACCCTGAGTACAGATCCACGAGTGATAAAAGTGCTTATGTTGAAAGCCAACGAGTCTGCTTTCAAATTCCCAAATGCTCAGGATTCACTCTTTGTCTTGTTGCTATATTGTTCCCTATCAGTCACTTCTGCCACTTCAGTTTTCAAGCTGACATAATAGCTATGGCAATACTCAATTCTGCAAGAAGACCTTATACAATATTGCATTTCTTCCTATGAACAGTATTAGAAGCTATATTCTGGGCTTGGTAACACTGTTTGTGTGTTACACTTGTAAACCCAAAAGTTGAAGTTTGAGTGGTTCATATGTTAGGAGTCCATTTAAACCAGTTTGCCTAATTGAAGCCTCTTTAACATGTGAAATAACCATTTCAGAAAAAAGGTTTGTAAAGTTCATAAAAGATACTAAAATCTTTCCACCCAAGTTACCACATCAGTGAAATGATTTTCCAGGAAAAAGTTCAGCTTAATCTGTGTTTGTCTGTATTCTCTATTGTAACTGCCAATGAGTTTTGCCATGGCTGATTTTCTGTCAAGATAGGGAAACATAGATAAGCAAGTCATTTGACACAGGCCATGGAGCATCCTTCAGATAGGAATGGCTTTTGGTCACTTAGGACATGAAGTGGTTTTGAATTCAACTGAAAGTTATTATTCTGCTGTCCTCCGAAGTCTGTTTAATTTGATGACTCAGCTCTACCATCCAAAGATTTATTGCTGCTCTTCTTACCACCTCAATCCCACTTCTCTGAGATTTCATCAAACTACAATAAATAGCTGTCAAACATTGTTCCTGTGGGAAATAAGCGGATAAAAATCTGTCCTGAATGTTTAGTTAAGGGGAAGACCATAGCAAATCATGGTCTGCATAGAAATCCCTCTTCAGGTATCACTGGTATCTGCTTCTGGCTCTGATCCTTCAATTGTCCCATTTTCCCCATTGAGCTTTTTCTGTTTCCTTAGTTGCATGTTTTTTGCTTTTTACATTTTTTTGGAATTGCTTCATATCTAGTAAGACTTGGTCTCCTGTTTCTTTTCTTCACTCATGTCCATTTCTGTCAAAACACAGTAACAAAGCAGCTGGGTAGCTCGAGTAATAGCACCTGCACAGGAAATTTGAAGAAAAATAAAAATAAATAAAAATCAGATGAGTATCTGAGCACTATCATAAGAATAGCTGCTTACCTAAAACTTAACTTCATAGACAATTGTTCTATGTATAAGATGATCATTGAAAAATCTTGAAGTAGTCATTTCTTTTCTTAGAAAGAGACACATGAAGCACGCTAAGTTTCCGCTAAAAAATTACACTAAAATGTTTGGTTTAGCTTCTTTAAAAGCCATCAACAAGAACAGTGTTGTCCTAATGATGTTTTAAGGTTTTTGCCAAGCATCCCGTCAGATACCAAAATTTGTATGTCCCATTGTTGAAAATGCCTAAAGTAAAACGATAACATTTGAAAAGCAAGGAGGGGCATGAGGGGAAAGTTTTGCATGAACTTTAAGATGTTATGATTTAATTGTTAACTCATAGAACTACTGCTGATGTACTGTCCCCATTCATAAATTAAGATTAAATTCATACCTAATCCCTATACAAGTAAATGTTGTGCTTATATGCACAATAGACTATTTTACTGCATGTTAAAGTGTCACAAAAAAACCCCTGACATGATAATGCATAGTAAGTAAAATAGTCTGATGTGCTTTAAGCGTCACTAAAAAAGCATGCAAAACACACTGCTGCGCATTAGCACAGCCTAATGCACATTCATTTAGTGCCTCATGTTGGCAGTCCTAAATTTAATATGTAGTTAAAAAGGTGATTTAATGCACACGTAGATGTACCCATTAAGCAGTAGGACTGATAGAAGAGGGGAATTTATTTTGAATTGCAGCAATTCAGCAAAAGTATACAGTAGGCAAAATTCTAAGGAAATTAGTTTTCAGCTGTGAATGGCATAAATATTAGTTCTGATCAGCTCTGGGAGTTTGTAAAGTCAAAGCAAAGCAAGACCACGCATATGACAGTCAAGCCATTTTAAAATCATAACTAGATTTCCCAAATAAGAATGTTAATGTTTGATGAAATGTATCAAATGGCAAACAAACAAGGCATCCATTTTCTTTTGTCCAATAATTGAGATACTCTTAATAAATAATATTTTATTTAATTTTATTGCAACAGTCTTAATTTATTCTAACCATCTACCAGCACTTACCTAAAATCTTGTTGATAAAGGGAGGTCTTCTGGATATGGGCAAATAGACTCCTATGAAGTAGACTGGAATTCCAGACAAAGCAATACCAATTCCAATCAATGAATTAATGGTGTCACTATAGAGAGGCACTACCACTAAAAATACTGAGCATATACAGAAGACTATTGGGAAAAATAGGCTCAGCTGAAAAAGAAACATATACAAAAAAGTTCTTGTTATAACATCAAATAAATAAGTGACATCTAGAATGTTATTTTCACTTATTATTTCCCCAAGTAAAACCAGCCTGTGTTACCTAAAATGTACTCAGCTAGTCAGAATAATAGGTAGATATTGGAACAACCACAGTATAATAACAAAGACCTTTGTGGGCAAAAATAACTGATGAAAGAGTCTTTGTACTGGAGCAGAGCAGTTTAACTGATTGCTTAACTCAGATGTCACCTTTCAGAGCAGTGAAGAGGGCCATTAGTTCCAGGAAATGTATCTAGTTTTTGCTAGAGAGATATGCTAAAAGGATCAGAGATTCAGGCAAACACTGGCTCTAAAGATTCTCCAGGCATAATTTGCCATCCCTAATTTGAAACAATACAATGGAAAGGAGGGGAGAAGGGAAGGGAGCTAAGGATACAATCACTTGATCTGTAATCCAAGGAGCTGTTTTCAGTTATATGAGCTACATCATAGGACAGAGGGAGGGGTAGTGGCTGAAGTGATACATAATGAAGAGAATATCAGAATTACAAGAGTTCCATCAGGTTGAAATGTTGAAGCCTCAATGAGCCAGGAAGTGTTGGAGTCAAGGATTTTTGTGTGATATCTTTGATTAGACCAACTAGAGTTGAAAGAAGTGTTTCATTCTCACCTAGAGGCTGAGCTCTGATAGATTTACAATTCAACAGTACCATTCTGACAATGCATATGGCCCAGCCTTTAAGTAGAAGAGATCTTAAAAACAATTTTGCATATATTAATTCTTACCTTAAGAGGCCTTGGACGCTCTGGTTCCTTCCAGCGTAAATACAATTGCCCAGCAATTGATAGTCCAACAAAAAACCAGTAACTGAAACTGAAGTAGTTAATAAGAAGGAAGACATCTTCTACAGTGAGGTAAATGATGGTCATAGTACACTGTTAAAAAAGAAGAGAGGTCCCAAAAAGTGACATCTAGTTTTCAAAAGTTTACTGTTATTTTTTCCATAAGCACATTGAAGTAACACCACCTCTTTCATGCCTGAGTCTCACATGATTTTTATCATTCCCAAGAGTGGGATTATAATAGATTTCCTAAAGTAGTCAGTATGGAACTAGTATAACATCTCTTGCCATTGAACAAAGAGGAAGAGAGGTCCAATGCTGAATTTAAGTACCAATGTCTGGCTAAGTATCTAGGGAAAAAATTTAGAAGAGGGGCAAGATGCTTCGAGTACAGTTATCTGCGAGGAAAACCTAAAATAGCTGGATTTTTATTATTCATAGTTCATTTATATCCTCAAGATTTAAAACAGCTTGAAGAACTTATGAATAGCACATCAAATAAGTCTCACTGAAAATTTAATAGGCACGTCAGTCTTACTTTAGCATTTATTTTATTATTTTAAAATCAAAGACAAAAAACTGCAGATGAACTGCACACAACAACAAAGTGTTCATTTCATTCCAGTTACAAACTTTGTAAATTGCTTCTGCTTTTCAGAATTTTTTGCATTTTATTAACTACCTCTTAAGGTGTCATCTTATTTCCTATAAGAGATCATTTCATGTTGTGTATAAAATGTTTCTTCTGTTAAAGAACTCCAACCCAATTTTTAAAAATGCATGTTGAACTGCTTGCAAACCCTCAAACACAGAGAACTTAAAAAAATACAGTAGCAGCAACTCACATTGAACAGCAGTGCAGGTATTGGTGTGAATCTCCCTAAGTGTATCATAGACAACAGATCAGGGAGATGGCCTTCCCGGGAGCCTACAAAAAACAGCCTAAAAAAGACATACGAAAGCATAATTCTTAAGCTAAGGGAGAAGACCACATACATGAACAGAACACACATCCTGTCAGTGTTTGAGGGTACTGATAACTATTTTGATAAACCTGTATGTATATATTCAACCCATCTAATCCAAACATTCCTATTACATCTTTTTAGAAAGAAAACACCACAGATAAATTAGTGCACTTTGTGGTAACTAGGGCAGTTTTCCACTGTTAAGTGTTAAAAGCACAAAGACTGCTGTTATAGTCACTAGATTTCATGAAGATAAGTGATTTGTTGCATATGAGAATGAGTTTGAAGTGCATTAAATTTAAGCATATAACCCACCTCCCAAGAAATAAAACTTATTAATTCTACAAGTAAATTAGAGAATAACATTTACATCACTTGTCCAAACAAGATGACAATAAATGAGACCACAGTTTAATCACCTACTGAATATCATTAATCATACCTTAAATTATACTATAGATATTATATGCAGTGGAGTTTGGAGTTTCTCATAATCTATTGAGACCTGTCACTTCATAGTGATATTCTTTAAAGGCCTTGATATCACATTAGTTTACTCTGTCATAAAACAACAATTTAGCCAGAAGTTATTATGAAACAAAGCCAAAATGTTACCTAGATGATGCTAAAATTGAGGCATTAAGTCCACCAAAACATGAAAAGGCTACAGCAATAGGAATTGTCCAACTGAAAATGCCGAATACCCGGTCAGCAAATGTCTAATAGACAAAGAAAAGGGAAACATTTAAATGTTTCTAAATGACAATACAGGAATAGAACAGTAAACTCAGAGCTATTCTAATATGATGTGTAAAAAAACAACAATTTAATACGTATATTAGGAACCATCCACAGTGCTGCAAAAACTGGCAGCCAACAGTTGCAGTTATTTTATTGATTCAACACAAAATTAACTTTCATTAAGTTAAGCAATTTAATTTGGACTTACTCCTCAGAAAGTCCAGTAAGCCCTTGTCTTAGAACAATTCATTGAGAATTATATTCACATATTTTATAAAACAGATTTTAAATTGGATTTTCACTATTAAGTTGCATAATACAGCACATTAATGGAGGTGAGAGAAATCAAACCAGTGTAATAGACTGGCTTCCAAAGAAACAATAATGGGAAAATATTTTGAGATCCAAAGAGGGAAATGGTATACTGCAGAAGGCAACAAACGCATCAATTTTTATCTCCCTCATGCAGCCTTGCCTTGGCCTGGAGCAGGCAAACTGTCAGCTAACATCAGCCTTTTTATTACTGCTGCTAGACCATGCTGCATGCTACTGTGGTGGCCTCCAGCAGTAATATACCTGGGGGGTGGAGAAGGACAAGCAGAGCATGAGCCCCACTAGCAAACTATGAAGAGGGCACAATGCCCCTGCCCCTAGTAGTCTTTGCCACATTAGACACAACACTGTATTGCCCAACCATAGGATCCAAGCAGGTGCAGGCCACATGCAGCAGTGTATCTGGGGGGCAGGACAGTGAGCAGAATGACACCCCTAGGAAGTCTTTTCAAGGCAGGTGCAGCTGTGTGCCTAACAGTGCATTGGGGAGAGGAAGGAACAAATGGAGCACCAGGGCAGCTCCCAGGGAGTCCATGTTACTACATCAACCAGGCACAGCAGTAGCAGCTGCTTTCAGAGTGCAGAGAGCCCAGACAGGTAATGGATGTAACATTCAGCTCTCCTTCACTCCAGTCTCGAATCAAAAGAATTCCCCCATCCCAAC